GGATGAGAAAAGACTGAAAGTCAATCGCCAAATCATGGCCAGAAATCATCCAAACAGTGCAGACAGTCTTTCAGAGTTGGAAAGTTCTATAAAACTGACAGATCCTAAGAGCATTTGTATGAAAGGGCTCTTCTGTTAACAGACCTGTCGAGCGCCGCCTCCTTCTTGATTGTCGGATCAAAAGCCTCGCAAGTTAACTCGTCTTGGCCAGCAGGTTGTCTCGGCAACCGAGTTAATCGGCGGTCGAATCGTGCTGGTACCGGCGAACCAGCAGCCGTGCCGTCGGGCCACAATATTAACGCCTTAGGCTGCCTGAAACGAGAGGGAAGGCTGTCCTTCGATGTAAACAATTCAATCACTCCAACCACTTTTTCAATGGCTTCCTCATCTTCGTCTTCCTCATTCTTCTGTCTCCTCTTGCTCTGGGACTGGTTTCCCCGTTTTATTCGCCGAGAAGGATAGGCCGAGCACGAAGAAGGGGTTGGTGAAGAGGTTGACGTAGAAGTGTTGCTCGAGGAGGTGGTGAATTGTGCCGAGTCTGGCGAGCCAGCCTTGGAATGGATACCGCTGCCACAAGGTACTGTCGCCGTCTCATCTTCCCTCAATCCTGACTGACGACTTTGAGTCGTGCCAGACATTGGCTGAACGGCTTGACGTCCTGAGATTGTCAGGCCAAGACGCGGAGGCGCAAACGGAGAATTCTTCAACAAGGCGGATTTCTGATGCACAGAGTTGATCCGCTGGCTGGCCAATTTAACGTCGGAAAAGTGGGCTTCGAGGGGCTCAGCGGACGCGGAAAGCCCGTCAGGCAGACCAAATTGCCACTGGTTTGGTTGGTGCTTGAAGAAGTGAAGTGGTCGAGGCGAGAAGATGAGGTTGCGGAGGGTCGGAAGAAAGAGAAACACTTGAGGGTCAAAGGTCAAATATGAAGAAAATGCGGGTTCCGAAGAATCTCCTGAAATTAGATTGGTGCAAAGACTTTCATTCGGTATGAAAGGGCACGGATGAGGGGATTCGTAGGTCAATCTCATCATAGGATGTCGGCTGATTCGCGGTGTACTGCAGCCGTCAGGCTTTTGATACATCATTCGGGTTGATGCAGTCCACGAGGCATCCTTCATTGTTTCGAGACTTCGTTCGTCATGTGACGAATATTGTCAGCGCTGGGACTCATTCTGGCAAAAGCCTCATGTCAGCACTAAGTTAGGACAGACATAGACACACTCGAGTATAGATAGATTAACCGGATCTTTCGATATCCATCTAAATCTAAATGTTTCTCTCAACGAGTGTATACATCAAATGGGGGCTTTTGCAGGAATGGGTGGGTCTCAGTTCTGACAATTTTCATCATGCGACATGACGAACAAAGGCTCAGCCCGTCTTCGCCCGAAACGAGAGAGGATGTCTCGTGGACTGCATTAACATGAACGTCGTAGTAAAACCAAACGGCTGCAGTACAACGCGAATCTCCTCATTAGGCACTTTCATACGAAATGAAAATCTTCATAAAAGTCGAATAGTGACTAAATAACAAATGACAGAAGAGCTGTAGATGGGTTTGATGCCAATCCTACTTCTTGAACCCTCCCTGACAAAAAGACTCATGCCATTTTACATGCTGCCCCACTCTCGAAATCTGCCGGCTCACTAATACCGTGCATGCCTCGACCAATACGTCAAATTAGAAAAATGTAATTATAGCAGATGCCATACCAGTGCCCCTGGGTTAGGGAAACGCACTCAATGCTTATTCTACTAATTATGCCGAAAGTAAATAACGTTGTCGATTGCAATTGCAAATACGTGTCTGCTTTACCTACACTTCGACTAGAAAAAGGTCAGTTCGGTGAGGACTGGATTGCTGCAAAGGTCGCATTTGCTCTTTGACCCAATCACACTCGTGGTTGTGCGCGAATCCCATTTGAAATGCTGATGAGCGACTGTTAGGCGAGCTCAAACCTGCTGTCCGGGCAAGCCTGGATGAAAATGTCTTTTGGAAGGGAAGGCATCTAATTGTGGAAAATCCCAGGCATAAGTCATCAACACCTGCTTACATCGAAAATTTTTTTAATTCCTTTAGGATTACCCACCCAAGCATACTCACAAATGCAGGGATTCCTCAAAGTCTGCATCAATGACGCCATGCCCTCGGGGTAACTCAACACTGGTTGTTGTAAAATAAAACACAAGCTGGGAAGAGTATTTGAACATCTCCTTTGAGGAGTTGATTACTTAACCTGGGCTCGAATTCCGTTGGGATGATAAGGAGACCGGAACACTTTCTGGAGGCATGACGTAATGACATGTAGCGGTAGCATTGAGCCCTATTGATCACTAAGTAGCATAACTATTATGAGCTGTGTTCACATCATTTTGTGTAAGATGATGAAGTGTTGAGCTTACTTCCATTTCGAGTGAAAGTGTTGGGTGTAGAGATTCGAAGGTCGGTCCCACCAGAAGACGACGGCGGATTCCTCTTGACCAGCTGTCGATTGGTTTTACTGGAAGATTCATGCTGACGCGGTTTTCGAGGCAATCTCCCTCGATTCCGGTGAAAAGGTGCTAAGCTTTCGTCCGTCATATGACGGACATCATCAGAGCAAGGTATCATCATCACAACAAAATTCAAACTAACGAATCAAGAAAACGATGATACCTTGCTCTGATGATGACGGACAAAAGCTTAGCACCTTTTCACCGGAATCGAAGGAGATTGCCTCGGAAACCTCGTCAGCATGAATCTTCCAGTAAAGCCAATCGACAGCTGGTCAAGAGGAATCCGCCGTCGTCTTCGGGTGGAACCGAGCTTCAAATCTCTACACCCAACACTTTCACTCGAAACGGAAGTAAGCTCAACAATTATGAAACAAGAGATTCCTCGAAACCCAACTTTTCTTCGCATAAGATGATGAAGGACTGGTAGTTGAATTTTCCCACAATGATATGAGACATGATGTTTCCATTCTCAAGGGGTATTCTCATCCAGGCTGGAGTGAATTGCAGTCTCGACTTGCCCTGAACTGGTCTCATTTGCATGACTAAAGTGAAACTCGAACCCGGGTACTGTACTGCAGTGTCTTCCTCGCCAAGGTTCCATCAGTCCCTCTAACGGGACTAGCGAATGGATCATGAATATAATGACGGCAAATCATCACTCTCTTATGCAGGCCAAGCCGATCCTTAATTACAGTTATAGTGGGGTTTTGGAGGAGACAAACATGTATTTGTCATTAAGATTATTCATTCCTGCAGTGAATAGCTTTCGAAACTGTTAGTGATCTTTGTATAAAAACTTACTCACCTTTAGAAGTTGGTTGACCTCGTTGTTGCAACTTGGTATTGTTGTCAGGGGGACTATGTAGAACGCACCTAGTCCGAAGTCGTCTGCCATAGTAGTTGTCATGATTCCCAGCATCTGCCAGTGGATTTGATACATTCTCAAACGTTTCGCCGGCATCGTCGTCGGCATCATCAGTGAGCTTTTCCATTCTCTGCCCCAAATTACGAACTCGTCAAAGAGACATAATGCTTGTCGAGGGATTGACTTCACTTGTCTCGTTGAAGAGTTCGTAGCTTGGCGCGGAGAATGGCAAAACTGACTGATGATGCCGACTACGATTCCAGCGAAACGTTTGAGAATGTACCAAGTCGACTGTCTGATGCTGTGAATCATGACAAATACTATCGCAGACGACTTCGAAATAGGTGCGTTCTACATAGTCGCCCTGACAACAAGACCAAGTGGCGACAACGAGGTCAACCCACTTCTATCAATCGAAAGGAGACTGCGACCATAACAGAGGCCACAACATCT